AGTTTCAGATGTTGCACAAATGGACTCTGTCTCGCTATTTATACACTCTCTGTGTCCTTCCAGTATAGACAACAAACAATTATTAACTTGTGAACTAGTTAAGTTTCAGATCTTTTCGCAGCGTAAAATTCAAACTTGTAATTGACAACCTGTAAGCAAGTTCGATAAATAAACAACACACAGATGCACGTTAATCTGGACTAAAATAGCCTACAAAAGTGTATGGCAAGTGTTTGCAGATGATCGCCATTAGTAGCGCGTTTAGCCCCAGTTGTTTTTGCCAAGTATCAGGGGAGGTCTCTGTCTGCTGCTCATCAGTGGGTGTGGGAAACAACGAAACACACCGGTTCTGCCAGTGGCTTCAAAGGCACAAGGCTGAGCAGGACATCACAACTTGACACAAACAAAACCCTGAGAACTGACTCGAGCGCTCTTCACTTACAGACACACTTGTAACCCATGCCAGGATGCTTTTGCACACATGGCTGTGGAATACAGTGCAGCATCACACACTCGCACACGCTCCCCCAGCTTCTCTCAAATGAATACTTTTTGTTTTTTAAAACAAGCGTTTATGTTAAATGAATAATTTCTGGCTTAAATTATACATTTTTCCCCTGCGGTCCACAACCAAAATTACACAGAGTCCCAGCTATTTTCTCCCTGTTTGAATTGTGTCCTGCATTCTTGTGTCCCAGCGGTGTATTTAAAGTCCCCACCGAGGACCATGGCCTTTCTTTAATTAGCTTAGCCCAGTAATTAACTGGGAGATATTGTTTATTTCAATTATAAGGGTCTGAAAGCTTTTATAGAATGGATGGGAGCAGACCTGTACTTTATGGCTTTAGTGAGTGAACAGTTAACAGTGGTCACTGTTAGAGAGGCAGCATTGTTGCAGTGCCACGTCTAACAGGCCACAAAGGGTCACTGCTGCATGACCATGTCAGCCATGTGCTGGACGGCTGAGGTCAGACCCAGACTCCCACTGAACTACCACTGACAGTAGTGGTAGTTTTTGTTCTGGCATGATACTGCATCACATTATTATTGGTGTAATGTTTAATGTGACATCCAGTGGGACATATACCCATGTATATACTGTAGCGCACAATGGAAATGCAAAACACCCCGGTAACGTTGTTGCTGTCAAATCAACTGCGGTGGACGAACAGAGTAGGGATGTTGCTCGTCCTTTATATATTTACGACACGATTCAAACCCAAACTTGTTGAGCATAATGTACAGCATCTTAATGATTATGGTCACAGATTTTGTTTTGTGCCAGCAACATTAAAATTTAAATCCATCAGCAGTGCGTTGCAGAAACAACACTTCATCAAAACTTGACACACTTCCGCCCCCCCCACTCTACACCTTCCTTTTTACACGGAGGCCAAACAGTTGCACCAGTTTTGCCTAGTGTCACAACAGACCACTGTAGCTGCTTTGTTGGGATACTTTTACTTTTTATGCCAGCAACATATCATTTAGTTATATATATAAAAAAATATCCACAATAGTTCAAAATGTTTATAAAACAGCCTCTATTTCTAGGTGCCCACAGGAGGAGTTAGAGTTGTTGACAAATAAACAATAATATCTGCTTACAAATAAAAAAAAATGCTCACATTTATGGCTTATTGATGCTCAAAGCATTAACCAGGAATAATTAACCATTAATTAAGACAAGCTTTCCATATCAGAAGGCTGCAGAGCTGTTTTTATCTCTTTAGGGGAGAGAGATGCACCATAACGTCTGAACCTGAAACTCTGCTGCCATTTTCCAAGTTCCTTAGATGTTTCACCCCCTTGCACGTTATTTTACAGACCAGCATTTCAGCGTAGACAAAGAGAACTCCCTGAAATGCCAGACTGACACACGGAGTTCCTCAGGGTGCGATGGCGGAGGGCTGAGTCAGGCATGCGGGGTTTCCCTCAGTATGTGCCAGGGGTGGAACCTGAAACCAGTTTGGAAGAAGCCCTGCATGCGAGCACAGGCTTCCGCGACCATTAGGACTTATTCTAGCATGGGACCACAGGATTACTGTGTGTACTCATGTATTTGTGAGTGTGTGCACGCAGGCATCCACCCGTGCGGGCCTGTGTGAGGACTCAGAGACATCAGTGTGTGTTTGTGTTTGTGCGGATGGGCACACTCAGACATGAGCCAAGCCACCAGCCAGCCACAAGAAAGCACGTCTCTGGGAGGTGGAATTTTTATGTGAAAATGGGAACAATGATTTCTACTTTTAAAGTCTGGACAAGAAGCAGAGCCCATTGAACAGCAGAGCAAAAATGATGAATCAATTATTAATGTGTTTACCGCCACGCTGCGAGTGTGATTGTGTGCGTACTCGCATGCAGGCTGGTACATACAGTACTGTATACGTGTTCACTTCTCTGTGCGCTGTCATGTGCCCTGTGTGACTTTGTGTTTGTCTCATTCACATGTTTGCTTCCTCCCAACCTGACATTAGTGAAATGATGTCTTATTTTCAGATGTCCTGGATGGAAACAGTGCAGTGAGGAGGATGGGCTCTTTGCTTTCTACCACGAAATGATCAGAATCTCTTATTCCATCCTTTTAAAATGCATTTCTTTACACCTTCATTAAAAACAGGACCCAAATAAATCCCCTTCACATGTGAAGTTCACGTGCAACATTTTCTCACCAAACTCAGACTGAACTAAGAGAAAACCAAAACCTCAGTTCACAACTTCACGTGATTATTTCCCATGATATATCTGATGTGATGCCTTTCTGTATATCAGATGTAGAAATATCAGTTCAAATTGATATTTTTACTTCTGCCAAAATCATGTGAATTTATAAAATGTGCATTATCTCTAACCCACATGTGCACATACAGTATGTTTCATGTGCAAAATGGTGCTGCACGTGACAAATTCTTTGTCATAACAGCTTAAAACAGAGATATTTTTCCTCATAAATTTGAAGCTGCATCTTGTATAAAGACTGAAAAAGCAGAGTTTCATGTGGCCCAGACAAACAGCTATAACTCTAGTTGGTTCTGCTTGGGTTCTGAAATGTCTCCATGGTGGTTTTAGTTTCTTCTGGGGGTCTTCCCTGCCCCGAGGGCTCCATTCTGTTCATAGCGGATTAAATGATGCTCCCTGCCCAAATAATTAAGAACACAGCCCGACACAGTCTGACTGGAATCAAAGATGTAACTCGACTAAACACGGTGGAAGAAAGAAAAAAAGAAAGGGAGAGAGATCAGAGTGGTGGGTGGGAGGGAGGAAAAGGGGGACAGTGGGAGAGAGAGAGGGAGAGAGAGAGAGAGAGATTTCTCAGGACCCGTCTGGATCTCATTTCGAGGATAGTAATGCGATTAGCTTTGTTTAGTTTTCACAGCTCCAGCCAGTCCCCATGAAAAACCTGTGTGTGTGCCTGTGTATGTTTAAGTGTGTGTGTGTTGTGGTGGATAAACCAGGAGGTGAAATGTGCACGTGTGTTTGTGTGTACTATGTCTTGTGCTTGCATGCTTTTTATTCTTAAAGAAGTTCAGCTAGATTGTTAAAACTCAAGAGGGAGATACGGTTTTCACCTAAGTACAGAAACACAAACAGGATTAGATGTCTCTGTCTGGTGGCAGTAGCACTGACATATATAGATTTTATCAGACACAGCTAAAATACAGTTTGGCATTTGTTGCAGGATTATCTGCACAAGGGTTGATGATACTGTGTCCATTGTCTGTGTAATAGTCCCACGACAGAGTAAACAAGACAGGGGGCCCCATGCGAGATCACGGTCAGATCCTTGTCCTAAATTTCTCTGATGTTTTCTGTTCTAAGTCTTAATGGCACAAACTGGTTGTAAATCACTCTATTCAGACTGTAAAACATCTTTCTAAAGCAGCCTGTGACTTATATGTGAGCGGAGAATATTCCAGCTCCAGCTGGTGACACTACACTGTCAGAGGATGACACTGGGCAGAGACCCTGAGGCAGCCACAGGACCCAGGCAAAGGTTCATAACAGCTACTGAGATGCAGAGTAGTAGCTGCAGTTAGGAAGGAACCTCTCAGTAGATTGGCAAGGCATGATGACAACGATGACATGGTGAACAGGATATTAACTTAACTTTAAGTTAGTTTGTTTCTAAATACAAAAACTAGAACATGAACTGAAGAAAAGATTGTGGCTTTGGTTAAATGTGAATAAGCTGGTTGTGTCTTCATACTGCAAACCTTTTCTGTGTTAAACCAGGTAATGCTAAAGCCACTTAAAGCAGACGTTGTATTTTAAAATCATAATTTTGGCAGAAAACGAAAGAAAAACTTTGCCAGTGAACATTTTATTGATTCGTTCACTGTCAACATTGTTGCCAAATGCTTTAACCTCATCTTCTCATTAAAACACAAAACACAGTCAGCATCACACTAACTAAGTTTTTGTTGAACATAAATATAACTTCTAAGAAACAGGTTTGCTGGACATGATTAGTGATTAGTTAACAGAATATAAAGGAATATCTGGGTGCCAGAGCTGCTCTTTCTCCTTTCTGCTGTGACAGTATTTTACTTTGTCATATTTGTGCTATCTGTGATTTTGCATAAGTAAAAAATGTAAAAAGAACTAAAAACTGGACAGACTGATGGAAATCCTTCATGTCTCTGTCCAGGCATCATCAAGGTGGGAAGATGGAACCCTCTGCCTATCCACTTCCTGACTGACGCTCCAGAAGCTACGGTAGCCGACATGCTGATGGAAGTCTACCACATGGTCACGCTACGCATCCAGCTACAAAGGTGAGACTGAGGTTCGCTGGGTGCCACGAGCCACTGTGTGCGAGTCATTTCTGAGTGAGATAGTAGAAACACAGCACTCGAGTACAAAAAGCAACATTTGAAGCACATGTTCAAAGCATAAAGCTTCCGATCTGCAGACTATGCATGAAGGCAGTGAATCACACATTTGGTCCAGTGCCACAGTTCAAGAATTTACCATACCTATCAAATTTAAAGCAGCAATATTGAGGCATTAAAGCTCCAGTTAAACAAGCTGCTGGGGATTTATCTATTATCTGTCTCCGTCAGGGAGAGTCCATGTGCCAGGAAACCCTGGTTCCCCAGAGTAAGCGAAGCAGGATCCTGATGGACAGATAAAAACAGATAAACTCCAGATGAGGGGGTTATTATTGTTATTGTCTTGGCACATTCCAGCCAGGTTTGTTTACGTGTTTATGTGAGTATCCACGGCAATGGCAAAGCTTTGGCTTACTTTGTGCTCAGTGTCGAAATGATTTATTTGAGGTTAAAATTAAATGAAAAAAGGAAGATTGCAGGGAGATACATCTAAACAGGATGGTTGGAGGATCCGTGGGTTAGAGCTTCCTGTAGGGTTAGGATTTCTGGAAACACTTCACTTTCTTGCAGAGAGTTTGATGAGAAAATTGATCCCACCCTCAAGACTGTAAATATGAAGCACCAGACAGCAGCCAGTCAGCTTAGCTACCTGTCCCGAACCAAAAACAGCAGACTGACAAAGTTAGCGACAGGCCGGTGAACGTTTAGCAACTAAACACAGATTGGATTTCTATCCATCAGGTGGCCAGAACAATGATTCCAAATGAATGCTAATGCAGCTCTCACCACAGTACATCTATTCACTAGCTGACTGCTGGCTTTGGTGTGAAGAGATGAGAAAATCAATGTCAGTCATCAGGTGGATTCTGTAAAACTTCATATAGAACCAAGCTAGCTGTTTCCAATCTTTATGCTAAGCTAAGGTAACCAGCTACATCTACATACACAAGAGTCACATCAACTGTCTATCAAAGTGTATTTCCCAGCACGTCAAACTAGTTTCAGGAATACGGTGACGCAGTTTTCCAAAGCATTCTGGGTAATACTGTGAAACTATTGTAAGGTTTATTATGGTCGGTCCTGTTGGCGCTCCTCATTAATCTAAGCTGTAGGGAAGCTGACTTCCTGGTCTGATGAAGCTGCTGAGGAGCCCCAGGGCAAAAACCACTACTTTATATCTGAAATTAACAGTTGATTAATTGATTAGCCAAGTGCCTGAAAGTTGAGTGAAAATAAATGATAATTGATTAATCCTGTCAGCATTTTGTATAAGCAAAAGAGCTACTCAAATGTGAATATCTGCTAGTTATTGATGACAGTAAGATGAAAATACGTGGGTTTCTGATTGACATCAGTTACCTTCAGCCTCATGACGGGCCCTTTTCTACTACCTTGCCCACAGCTGACTCCTATGTGTGGTTTTGGTTTTGGTTTGTTGTAGTTTTTCAAAGCTGGAGGACCTGCCCTGTGAACAGTGGAACCACGCGACTGTCAGGAACGCTCTCAAAGAGCTGCTGAAGGAAATGAACCAAAGTACTCTGGCCAAAGAGTGTCCTCTGTCGCAGGTGACCACAACACACCTCAGCCTCATTTTCACATCAGACTCTGATGATCTTCACCCAGAAGCATTCTATCAGTACGGGGATTCTTTCAGATATCTGCCTTTATATGCTCCTCTGCCCTGGTTAAGGACTGAAGTCATTCCCCATGAGATCCATCCTGGCAATTAAAACTCACGAAACAATCCCACATGCATTGTATGGACTACTGCTACATTTTAAACAGACTCCACCCACAAAATTAAGCCCTGTCTCCTCCACCGTGTTAAAGTCCCAGTTGAATTTTTAGAACTCCATCCTGGTGTTATAATCACTTGTGAGATGTATGTGTGCGGATAAATAGAGCTCTGGGGGGGGGTGTTGATCGCCGCATCAATTGCAAACATATGTGTGCGGCTGAAGATTCCCTCTCTGCACCGCACTGGCTCGAGTTTCCATGGGTGACTTCCAATCATGATTAATGCTTGTCTGTTTCTATTGTGTGTGTGTGTATGTGTGGATTCAGTGTAGCTGTTGCATGAGTGCATGTAAGCATTTCATATTATGTTGGTTATTAATTATCTGTCCCTTCTCACTCTCAGAGCATGATTTCCTCCATCGTAAACAGCTCCTACTATGCCAATGTCTCAACTGCCAAATGCCAGGAGTTTGGTCGCTGGTACAAGAAGTATAAGAAACTAAAAGGTGAGTACAGAAGACAGGATCCTCCTAATGTTGACCTGTGGTTCCCAACCTGGGGTCGGGATCCCAAAAAGTGGTCTTAGGATTATTATGGGGGTAGGAATTAATAAAAATTAAAACAAAATTGGTGCAACAAAACCAGACAACCATTCTTTATTCCATGCAGTCTCCCTTGTTAAAACCCGAGGCGTACATTATTGACAACGCAACTCGTGTGCTGACAGTTGGGTGTGAGACTGCACTGTGTTATGCTAGCTGTGGCCGGAGCCTACAGCAGAGAGGAGGAGCGACCATGAAGAGACACAAAACAAACACAAAAAGGCACAAAATGATAGATACAGATAATGCACACCTCAAAAACATAACCACACATCAGAGCTGCGACATGTGCCAACATCAGCCCATCACCCGCATCAGCTCAAAAGTTAAGCCTGAACAGAAAGAGGTCTAAAGGAAGAAAGAATGTGAGAAAGGACAGCGTGATGGCACAGGCTGCTGCTGACAGGAGGAGGAGTGCTGGGTCACACTCGGCATTTAACCATTAGTTTTGCTTTTCAGCAGCAGCAGGGAACACCCACAGCTTCATTCCAGATGTCAGCGCTCATAAAGCTCATGCTATCTGACTGTAAAAATATGCTGTTGTCATGAGCAAAAAAGGTTCTTTTTGGACCTTGAGAACAGCAACTGTCAAAACAGCATACACCAATGTCCATTTAGCAGCTGTCCTGGAGCTTCCATTCATAAGACAGATGGAGTTTGTCCCATTGTTGAGGAACTGTGGGTGTTTGAATTTTCATCTTTTTCCATACACTTTAAAGACTTCAAATTTTGTTCTGTTCATTAAACAGACAGTGATGTTTTGTCACTGAATTTGGTCATGTTCATCAGCACAACAACACCTGATTGTCTCTGTTTCTTTCACTGAGCAGTAGACTACCTGGAGAAGATGTGGTCAGGACGAGATGCTGCTGACATCAAAAGTAAGAAATCTTTTCAGTCTTTCTGCCACTGAGCTGATGTGATGTCCGCCTGACCACGCTCTCTTCTCCTCTCCAGTAGAGAGAGACAACATGGCAGACTTCTGTGTGCTGGGCCAGAGGCCTCCTCCTCACTTGGCTGGCCTGGCCCAGCTCAGTCACCTGGGAGCTGCCAGCCCCCTCCTTAAAGCTGGATCTGGAGATCCACAGGCACCTTCCCAGCCACCCCAGCAGCCTCCTCCTCCCCAGCAACAGCCCTCACCACACGGCCCCCTCCATCACAGCCCGCCTCTCCGTACGGGCCAGGTGCCTCCTCCACCCCCTCCACCCCCACCTGGTGCCCTGCAGCCCCTGCTGGGACCAGGTGGGCTGCTCTCCCCTCAACTGTCCCCACAGCTGGTGCGTCAGCAGCTCGCCATGGCCCACCTCATCAACCAGCAACTAGCCGTTAGCCGCCTGCTGGCCCATCAGCACCCGCAGGCCCTCAACCAGCAGTTCCTCAACCATCCACCAATCCCTCGGGGCTCAACCAAAGCTGGCAGCGACCACCCCGGGAGCAACCCCTCCGTTGCTGAGGTCTCCTCTGAAATCTACCAGCAGGTCAGAGACGAGCTGAAGAGAGCTAGTGTCTCCCAGGCCGTGTTCGCCCGCGTGGCTTTCAACCGCACACAGGTAGGAAAACAGGTCAGGCTGTGGTCAGTTTGGAGACAGGTGGGAAAGTGTGGAGATGAGCAGCAGGATGTCGCATCGAGGACAGGAAAGGATAGCTTCAGAGTGCATAAGCAAGAAGCTGAGGATGGAGATGGAGTTTGAGAAAATCAGAGAATTCATGCAATATATCCTGTGATGGACCGTTTGTCCCCCTCCTGCTTACTGAGCTACATCTTCTCAGAATAAACTGATCATAGCTCTCCTTCCCCACAGTGTATCAGGTGAGAAGAGCTACCTGAAAAGATGAAATAAATAACGACTGGTGTCACTGATAGTCTATAATTCTTCACCCAGGGTCTGGATGATTTTAAGGTGGTATTTTCAGTGGGATTAGCGGAAGCGTGTCAGGGTAGCTTGCTGGGTCAGTGAGCCTCCTTCGTCGCTCTCACAGCAGCACAAACACCTGATGCTTTCAGGCTGTGCTAAACTGGTTACTGCACGCCCCATTAGATCGATGTAATGGGAGGTGGCTCATAGACCTACTGGTATAGAGGCCAGGTGTGTTTCACCAAGTCTTGCATATGTGTGTCCCTGTGTATGAGTGCATGTATTTGTATCCAAACCATGTGTACGTTTAAGATTCCTCATTTTCAATTTATACTTTTGTTTCTTTTAAAAGGCGGTACAGTAGATAAGAAAACGACTAAGGACATTTACAGTAGTCAAGTACTGTACTCTCTTCTACTTGTACTCCATTCAGTGGGAAATACTGTACTTTTTACTCAACTACAACTAGTTCACAGCTTTAGTTACTAGTTACTTTAATTTTTAAAGTATCTTTAATCTACCCACCACCATATAGAAGTAGCCCTCTAATTAGCTGGCTATGTGATAATTTTTTAATTATTATTTTTGACAATCTAAGCCATTTAATGCCAAAATACTAAACCTTTCATTGCTCCCTCTTCACAAACGTGAGGATTTAAGTCTCTACTTTTCAATAACTTTAATAATTTCACATTTTTTACAACTAATTTTGAGGTTTGGACTAGTGTTGTGAAGGTTTTCACCTTGGGCTCTGACTAAACGGTGCTATTTTTCTGTATTTTCAGAGGATTTTACAACCCAAACCATGAATCAGTTGGGAAAAAAATAGTCCTCAGATTAAGGCATGATAAAAAATATTTATCAGTTGTACTATACAAAATATTTAAAAACTAGCTTCACTTTAAATAATGACACCACAATATGGTAAGTAATAAAAGTAATAAATGGTATAATTTAAATTAAACGTTATACAAACAATGGTACAATTATGATAATTATGATATCATGTAAGAGTTTCCCAGGTAATTTAATCTGCATAAAGTATTTTTACCTTTGATACTTTAAATATATTTCCCTTACTGTACTTGGGCAGCTTTACTTAAGTAACACTTTCACTTGAGGACCTTTACTTCTGATGGAGTATTTTTACAGTGTGGTATTAGTAGTTTTACACAAAGGCTCTGAATATTTCCTAATGAACCCAAAACTGTGTGGACAAAAAGCAACCAGTGGTGCATTAGAATATGTCTTTGTAAATAAAACAGTTTGTGCCCCAAATCACAGTTTTTAGCAGAATATAACTTTTTTTTTTTTACTGTAAACAATGTGTTCATGAATTTCCAACGCAGAGTGACAGCAAACACTCACCGACCACACATTTAGAAGAAAAGATAAAAACATAATGTTTATGTATCAGGAATAGGGGGCAGACATTATAGATTAGAGAAACATTGTAAAGCTATAACACATTTGTTATGCGCGTGTGTTTCAGGGTCTGCTGTCAGAGATCCTGAGGAAGGAGGAGGACCCTCGCACAGCTTCACAGTCCCTGCTGGTCAATCTGAAAGCAATGCAGAACTTCCTCAACCTGCCTGAGAACGAGAGAGACCGAATCTATCAGGAGGAGAGAGAGCGCACCATGAACCCTTCGGTCGGACTTCCTGCCTCCAGCCCCTCTAACCCCAGTGCCCCACGCCTCTCACAGGTGAGTGCACCTTGCTGTAAGCACTTGGCAGGAGACAGGATTTAATCGTAGTGATGAAACACTTCGTTGTAATATGCCCCGTGTTTGTGTGTTTGTGTGTGCATAGAAAGTGTGGGAGAGGAGCTTGGATGACCAGATGACCCCTGATGCCTGGGCCTCCATCTGGAAGAACAAGACTAAAATCTCCAACTCTGTGAGTTATCTGTAATCTTGAACTTGCCCTCACAGAGGAGACAGCAGCACGTCATGCACTCTGTGTTAAAGCCCATGCTGGGAGTCTTTATCTTTCACAAATTCCATTTATAATAGAAAAAGCTGCCCCCAAGCCATCATAAGAGCATACTGTAAACATAAAGGACATTATACAGTATTTAGAAATTTGCTTCTATGGTCACATAACAATTTAACAACGTCAGTGATAAGAAGTTCTCTCTGATGTCAGGGCAAATGCCCATTCATGGCTCTAGGTGAATGTGTGTGCTTTTCTTATTATGTCTATGTAAAATTATCTCAGCGTCGTTTACACTGAGGGAATGTAAGCTAGCTGGTCTGTACATGTCTTGTGGACAACTTCAAACGCTGTGTATACAAGCCTTCTGAGAGCCAATACATGTTCATTCAAACAGAAACAACAAAGAAAGACAAAAGAGAAGGACTTAATGACTTTGATCCATAAACAGAACTCATGTGGAGACGTGCACTGCAGATGTGCAGCTCAGGCTCATGCAGGGAACACTGCATGTCTGTTCTGAACTTGGACTGATCATCAGCTGATAACCTTTACTTATATGTATACACAAGATTAGCTTTTGTAGTAGTTTTAGAAGACATATGAGTCCTTTAGAAGTGAAGCACAATCCGTAAATGCCTTCACGATGTTTTCTGTTATCCGAGCTTCTCTGAGAGCCGGTCCTCTTAAAACCATTCCAAGTCCATTAAATTTGTACTCACTGGTCTTTGCATCATGTGTTGTGCCTCTCTTCCAGCCCAAGCCCTCTGGCCCGGCCCCCGACCTCCCACTGAAGCTGGAGTCGCTGGTCAACATTACGTCGGGCATCTATGACGAAATCCAGCAGGAGATGAAGAGAGCCAAGGTGTCGCAAGCTTTGTTCGCAAAGGTGGCCGCCAACAAGAGCCAGGTGAGGGGGGGGGGTCACTGGAAAAACAGAAGCCATCTTAGATCTTTGTCATCTCCCAGTTTGAGTCAGTGCAGACTTTAACTTAGGAATGATAGAATGTTTAAGTCAAGACAATAAGATATTTACTGCATGATAATGTGAACCTAAACAGCTTTGAAATGCTTTTTAAAATAACAGAACTTGGGATCTTCAGGAGGAATCAAAGCCCAAAGCTGCCTACACAGTAGAAACAGTAGGGCATCAATCTTTTTGACCTGTCACTTGGTTCACAACAGACAGTATTGTTTTCTCAGACCTCTCATAACATGACGCACTGTTGCACTGGAAGTATTTCAATGTTAGATATTGCGGACATTTTTAAAATGATTTATTTCTTTAGAAATGATCTGACATACAGTACTATAGGTATTGTCTCATGAAACAGTGTTTTGATGTGCAAAAATGAATTTATTCAAATGCCATAATAAAAGTATGATCATTTATTTCCTAGTACTGATTCTGGATTTTGACATTTGTCACAGCAGGAAAAGCACAGATGTAATTTATAACATAAAGATGTGCAGTAATAATCTCAAAACTCTGGAGAGTTTACCAGCCAGCATGCATGGTGCCTCAGAACCTAAAGGAAATGCAGCCACTATGCTGCTTAAGTCAGTCCAGAATTAAGAAGGTGCTGCAGCCAGCCTGGCTCTCAGGCAAACCATTGCATCCAACAGATAAAGAAACTTGGGGGCCAAGAGACTACCCTGCCTTTCAGTGTAGTAGCAGTGGCTCCAAGGATCACATGGACATTGTGTAGCTTGCACCCATGTCCAACCATGCAGATTCCCTCATATGGCGCTGGTGGATGGAGCGTGGTACTTCATTTATGGATTTACTTTGATTTCATTTAAACACAGCCACATGCTACAGCGCCTCAAGACAAGTAGCTCTGACTCGCCAGGTGAATGTATGTTATGCACAGATGTGTACATCATGTATACATTATGTGCATGCTGGTGTGCGTGTGTGTGCACAGTGCGAGGTCCTCCGGGCTGGTGGGCCTGGGGGTGGCTGGGGTCACGACTCACTGCACCCATCTGCTGCAGCTGGCCACAAGGACTGAGAGTGAGGAAGAGAGAGATGATCAGGCTATTAGCGGCGCATGCTGCCCGAGGTGGCTGGGTGAACACAACAGCTGGTGTCACAAACTGAACCGTTCTAGCAGATATAATTGAATCATCTCCATTTCTCCTTCCCCCATTTTCCTCTCACACATTTGCCCCACACACCCTCAAACATTTCTAACTTTGTCTGCCTTCACTTCTTTATCTCGTTTAATCTACCCCTTTAACTTTTCTTTGTTGCCTCACGGTCCCCATCATCCTTCACCAAGTGTCATAGTTAGTAGGTGAAGGGTGATGATTCCTGCGCTCCACAGCTGGAGAGGGCCCCCAGAACGGATTATAAAACAGATAATACAAGAACAGCTCAGGGAGAATAGCATCTCCTTATTTCAAAATCTAAAGGAATAGTCTGACATTTTGGAAAGACAGCTATTTGCTCTCTTGATTTAGCTGAGAAGGTTGATACCATGTCTGTAGAAATAAGAAATAATCCTACAAATAACATCTTGTAAAAGCCACAACTTGTTTGTGCACTGGTTTTTGTACAATGAACTTGATTGGTGCTATTAGCTGGATTGTGTTCGTGTAGGACAGAACCAGGCTAGCAGTTTCCAGTCTTTGTGCTAAGCTAACTGGCTGCTGGCTGTAGCCTTATATTTAACATACAGACATGAGCTGTTTCTTTCACATCTGCTTCTCACTTCAACCCTACCTGTGTTTTATACGCCTGCCCATGTCTCTCCTGCAGGGCTGGCTGTGTGAACTGCTTCGGTGGAAGGAGAACCCCAGCCCAGAGAACCGCACCCTGTGGGAGAACCTGTGCACCATCCGGAGGTTTCTGACCCTGCCGCAGGCTGACAGAGACCTAGCGTACGAGGAGGAATCCAGACACCATCACAGTGAGAGGCTGCACACCGTCCTCCACCTGCCACAGGACACACAGGTAAGAACCAGAAGTGTTTATAGCTGCTGTTACATGCACCTCATATCTCCACGTCCAGATGTGACGTATCCTCAGTGAAGCGCATTAACACCTGGAATTAAAATGCATCTCTGGGAAACACAAACGAATTCTTGCACAAGTCACCTCATCTTTTAACATTTACACCTGTTAAAACTGATCATCGCTGAATGTATCCATGTACATTTCCACAAGTACTATGCTTTATACCATGACTTAAAATAATGCTTATACCTTACAATAAAGAATAAAAGTAACAAATAATCTAATGATGCAATTATTTAACAATATGACAGGTCATTTTAACCCACTGAGTACTTCATTTAACTACAATAAGTACATGACTGTACACTTTTACTTAAGTTTAAAATGTTATGAAGTAATGGAGCATTAGTACTGTTACTCAGAGATCTGAATACTTGTACCACCATTGCCTGAAAATGTACTTTGACCCATTTATTATTAGCAGATCTTCCCGACACCTGCTTTGATTGTGGCTCATGTTCAAAAGCAACTTTTCTCATTATCCTGACTGGAAGCGTTTTTTGCCAGTTGATCACGTCCCACCTGATCTGAAACGTAAACGTGTCCACTTCCTCTGGATGTAATCACAGGACACGTTAAGTCAGGTATGACGGGGTTAAATAAAAGAAAGCGCACACAGTCATCCAACTGTACTGCACATCCACTGGGTCAAAGATGCATAGAACATCTGCACCCTCACAGACCACACCTGTCATAATTATTTACTCATATTTTTGCCACATACAGTCCCGTTTGATCTGGTTGTGTGTGCGTGTTTGTGTCTGTGCGTGCACCAGTGGAGCAAAGAGTAAACAGTGTGGCTGGGTGGTGTGGCGATGGAGGAAATGCCCCATTAGTTTCTGAGGAGGGAGGCACAGGCTGACGAAGGGACAAGGAAACACTGAATCTCTCTCCATCTTTTTATTAATCTTATGCTGCAGAGATAAAACCTTATCTGCTACTGAATTTCACTCTCATACATGAAAAATCTTTTTGATGCAGTTTACAAACATTTGACCAATGAAAGGACACCACAACACAAAGAGTCTCAGTGAGGTGCTGGGCCACCATGTGCCACCAGAACAGCTCCACCTTGGCACTGACTCTCCTGGACGGATGAGCACTGTTCTTCCAACAGACATTCCCTTGTAAAAAGTTTACTGAACGCTTCAAAGAACCGTGTTGTTTCTACTAACTATTATTTAAATGAATTCAGTTAGCTGTCTTGTGTTTACTATTGATTTCCAGAGGACCACTCACTTTAAAGCCCAGTAAATATTTACCCTTCGTTCTGTTTTGATTGCAGTCTTAATTTATGCAGAACTTTGTTCGTTGACGCAAATTTCACATTTACAGTCCAGCTCGTCTCTTGTCCTCTGATTAAAGGATGCACACAGCTAGCTTAACATTTGGAAATGCTTGTGTACAAATTATCATTATATTTGACTGTATTTACCTATTGATCTATAATTAGTCCTAAATTATATGGTTCTTACCATGAAACTAATCAGAACCTGCAGGACTCCCACAATAAAGACTTAGAGTAAATCCTTCACTCTTAACTACGTGTGCTGCAGACATCTTTATTACTGGCTTGTTTAAGGGCTTTTTGTCTTCAGTCTTTAGCAACTAGAACATGTCTTTGCTTGAGGTCAGGTGACTGACTTGGCCAGCTGAGAAAAATCTAGTTTGTGTGTAAAAAACCTCTTGGTAAAGAGATAAATTAGCAATGTCACAGTTACATGAAGCTTCAGTCATATCACATTCTCCGCACCAGTTTTCATAGAACTGTACATTTACATTGTAAGAAATTCTTATCCATCCATCCATTATCTATACCGTTTATTCCTATATAGCTGACACTGGGTACTGGATAGGTCAGCAGCCTATCACAGGGCTGGCATGTAGAAAAACACCACACACACTCACACTCACTCCTATGGGCAATTTAGATTCGCCAGTCAACCTAAGCTGCATGTGCACTGTGGGAGGAAGCCGGAGTACCCGAAGAGAACCCACGCAAGCACAGGGAGAACATGCGGACTCCACACAGAAAGGCCCCGGGATGGTGGGAGTGATGTCAATCTTCTCATCATTTGTCAGACAGCGAATGAGCACGACAGCAGCAAAATATGTGTAACTGTCCTACTATGACCTGACTGCACTGTGAAAAGGTGAATGTCAGGCTCACGCACTGCCTTCCCTGTTTGTTTAAGTCTTGCGGATTGAGCCCAGGTCTTCAGTTTCAGAATGTTTTGTACCACCCCAATGCAAAGCTATTATAGGCTTCACCAAATACAGTATATACCATAAGCCATAAATCAAAAACAGGCAAATGTTGAAACTTCCCATTTAGCATCTCAACATGGCTCCACCCACCTCCACTCCACAGCCAAACAGTCTTTCTCTCTTCCCATTGAGAGCTCGGTAATAAAGGCTGGTGGGAAGATGAGCAGGAAGCTGTGGTGGCACCACCGACACATTCCTCTGTCCCTCTCACAAGACTAAAGATAAAGCTCACCCTCACAGTGCCCATGTTGTAACCCCCACCCAAGCAAGGAGATGAACTGTGGTGAAACACTGGTGATTTATTAATGAGATGAGTTGTGTGTATATGTGTGTGTTAGTGCTGCTGTCTCAGACCCTCCTCCATCCCAGATGAAGCCTCCACCAACCTCAGGCTCCAGCCGGCCTGCCACCAGACCGCACGTGTGTCCCATCTGCCACACACACACAATCTCCCACTGATAGTTGTGAGCACTCTTTTGTATCTGGACAATGCGGTTCTCTAAAACTGTAACAACCAACCACAACATTAACATGAAAAAGAATGCAGTGCTGCCCTCTGAGGCACAGCCGTACAGTAAACCCACACACCAGTGATGTGTGTGTTTGGACTCATGTGGAGGCATGTGGACAGTATGAACTAGTCTTAATGCTGCCTGAGATCTCAGCAGAGTGCTGCGCAAGGGGTGGACTTATCCTCATGTATCCAGGTCTGACATCACAACTGGCACAAATTTACTACTCGCTCTCAAGACAGGATTTTTAAATGTGCTAAAAACACCAAGGAGACAGCAGCTTGACAGCAGAGGAGGACATGAAGGTGTCACCTTCGGATGTGGGGAATCATAAAGAGCACGTTATAGACAAACCCATTTACTGACGATTAAAGTCATTACACTGTAGTACTAAGCAGCTATAAAGACATTGTTAAGTGTTCATTAACGTACACTATTTTTCAACAAATTAACTCCTATGAACACATATATGAAGACAAATATACTCAGAAAAATATCTGAACAAAAGAAAAAAAACACAACAGCACTGGCGTGTGCATGCAAATGCACATGAATGTGCACACAGACGAACTCAGCTACACTCCCAGCCAGCCCCAATAACATAACATGTAAACAGTTTTTCATCAAAGAAACATTATTTCACAAAAAAGGGAAATGTGTAGTGACTCATCTCCCCCAGCCTAGATCCAGTGCTCATAAAGCCCAACCACACTCACACCGAGAGACAGAGACAGAGAAAATTTTAAAAACACCGATTAACAGGAAAGGTGAAGTCATGCACAAAACTAACAGAAAAGTGATTTTATCTTCATTACATATTTATCTCTGCATTAACGGTGTCTCTGGTGGACACACACCAGCCTCTCCCCTCACCACAACACAGAAAGAAAGAGAGAGTCTGGGGCCCTGGAGGACCAGACTTCATTAAGGAGAAGATGAATATTTCATGTTCTATAATTCTTTCAGAATTCTGTTTCGTAATTTGCCTTGATTTATGTTTAAAAAAAACTTTCATGTTTTTCAGGAATACTGAATCATGCCATGAGAAGAGCTGGTCTGGTCACGGGCTCCTGCACTTGTGGTTGTGGGAGAGCAGGGCTGTACTGTATTGCTGTGAAGTGACATGTAGTGTAATGGTCAGAGATGGGAAGGAGAAAAGCCAGGGAGGAAAGGAGGAACGTGAGAAGTTTCTATTTACACTTTTTCAGAAGATAATTTACACTCAACACACAGTTTCTGTCAACGCCAGAACTCGTTGGAGTTGATTATTTTTGTGAAAAAGTAGATTTCATGTGATATATCCAGAAAAAATGAGTGCGCAAAATAACTTTAAGCATCACACTGTTATGCAGTATTGAAGGAGTAATCAGTTACTTCAAAGTAAGCAGTACCAGTATTTTTAAAAAGCTTACTAGAAGTAAAACTTTGAGCACAATTACAAAAGTAATATTAGCTAAATAAGCTTAAAATAAAACATCACTATACAATATGTTACTGTTTTATTATTGCTGATGTATGAATTTTCAGGCAGGATTTACCACTGTGGTTGGTAGAGGCCGAGTTCATTTGAACCATTTTATAAACTGTAGGATAGTTTCATGTTTAATATGGGTCCTACTTCATAAGCTCATCATGTTTTTATGTTAGGTTTTTAACAGCAAAGTTACTAGAAGCTATAGTGTAAAAAACAATAATAAATGCTCATTCCCAAATTCAAGTATAGATAATGGAAATACTCAAATAAAGTGCTATGATAACACTACTTACATACAGCCTTAGTCAAGTAGTGTAGTTTGTTTTTTTTAACCAAGTGGTTATTTATCCAAGCCCAGAAACCTAACCAAACCTTAACCGTGGAGGTGGCAGATCAGAAAATACTCATATGAAGCCTTCTGTGACAATATGCATTTTGGAAGGTACTGAGAAATGACAGTAACAACAGTCTTTTTTGTCATGAAGGCTGGAGAACTTGTCTTCCAGTGGTATAGGTTGCCAGTCATTGTGCCCCTGGCTAAAATTCCAGAGTTTTAAGTATATACTCCATGACATATGAAAAAAGTTCAGTGTTGTTTTTAATTATATTTACTGAAAAAAGCAGTAAAATCATTTGAAGGATTTTCATCTGGGTTTTATGCTCCTACACACTCAAAGGTTGTTGCATTTCCTGCTGTAAAAAGACACTAATTACAACAAGGCATCTTGCAATGTTGACAGAAAATGCTTCGGCAGTAAGTGAAGGTAAAGAGGAAAACAATAGAGCGATGCTGACTGTGCCATTATTATTGTACCAAATTATTACATACGTATGCACCAGTCTACTTGTATTGTTGACTTTTATCTTCATAACAACCTAGTCTCCTTCACTAATACATGTTTCGAAGAAATACCTTGTATGTATAGAACTCTATCTAAGATCTACCAGTTTACAGACTGAAGCAGGCAGACAAGTGGAGGTCAAAGAGCACAAGGCAGAGAGAAAACTGAAGGTGTTAAAAAAAGGGGAGGGATAGCAGGGGGTGGGGAGGAAGAATAGGATGGCTGGAAGTGGAGGTGGGGGCTCTTGGCATCCACTATTTTGGGGCTGATTTGGCCGTGCAGTCATGTTGGTTTGGCAGAGGCCCACTTCATTAGTGTCCTGATGCATTAGACCTGAGTAGAGAGGGAGGCGGAGTAAAGACAAAGTGTGGTTGGGGTCAGAGAGGAGAAAGAAGAGACAGTAAAGGGAGAAAAACCTCATGGGTGTGAGCACAGAAGGGCAAGGACAAAGGAAGGGAGACACAAGGAGTCTTCGGAGAAAAACTCTGAAGGAGCCCAACCAGTCCCGTGTGTTTGTTACGCTCTCTAACTTTATCCTTAGTGCATGAGGGACACCAGGCCCTGCCGGCAATGCATGCATGTGTGTGGCGATTGATCCAAGAGTTCTTGCTGTCAGCCCAAATAAGCATAGAAATAATGATGGTCTGTGAATGGAGGCAGGGGGTGGAGATGGGGAGACGGTAGGTTTCACAATTTAGTTTGTAAGTGCCTCAGAAACTTAGTGTGGGGGGTTGTTTGCGGCTGTGTGGTCCTTATTAGGACTGGGATAGATTTTTTTTCTCTGTCAGTATCACTCTGTTGTTGGTTTTCCAGCATTCTTAGTCTTTTCTCAAATATCTAAAACTGTTACTTTGTGTTAAAGAAACAAACTATGTGGAGGAGGGAGGGAGAGAAATGACAAAAAAAGAAAAACCTGCTGAATTCCTGTAAACTGGTCATCCCCCCTGAAAATAAAAGCCCTGTGAGTGAAATAGGAGCAGTTTCATGGTCTGGTCTACCCTCAATATTATTTAAGTAATATCCTGTTATTATTGAAGAGAGGGAGAGAAAAGGGAATGACTATTATCTTTATGTGGGTCCTTTAATTTTTATATGCCACAGATTTATAGCTGGGCATTCCAGTGGGGAGGCCCCTCCCTGCTCTTATAAAGCGAGTGGGCGGGACACAACCACAACGCTCTCACAACAGCCACTACCTTCTGACAAACAACCAGAGTCCCCGATTTCCCTCCCAACACTTCATCCTGCCCTCCTCATGCTGGTCCTAACACCCAGAGAATCCCTGTTTGTCAGTGAGAGCTCCAACCGGCTGAATAACAAACATTTCTACACCTACCCTCTGCGTCTCTTTACAGCTACAGTGCTTGTAAAAATCCTGTGTATGATTGTTTTTGAAAGTCTGCTAAACATTTAGCTCCACATGACTCTCATAACTTATTAATCAGTAAAAATGCAGATACACTCAAGTCCATCTTTTTCAGTGTTAGGTTTCTCGGGCTGGTGTCACTCAGGATATATCCAAACTATACAAACCATGCAGTATTTGGAAAGTGAAACTGAAAGACCAGTCACACCAGACAAACCGTCTGGTGTGACCCATTCAGCCACTCCTGAAACTCCATTGCCACCACTTGTAAGTGTAAACGCGACAATTAATTATATCCACCATATGTATGTATAATTGAGTGGAAAAGCTATTTTGGGGACTATGGTTCAGTGGGTAGAGCGGTCGTCTCCCAACAGGAGGTTCGAATCTCGGTGCTTGCAGTCCACATGCCGAAGTGTCCTTGGGCAAGACACTGAACCCCCAAGTTGCCCCCCAATGTTTAGAGCCATCGGTTGAGTTGGCGCTTTAGACGGCTGCCTCGGTTCTGTGCCGGAAACAAATTCCGTGTAACATACTTGGCCAATAAAGGTGATTAAATGTTAATACAATGTTGTTTACAAGTAACAATGTATAAAATACAGCTAAAGTAAGAGCTAAGTCAATAAAGGACAAAGACAATGCACTTGAGTAAAATTATTGGTTCTTCGTTACAAAAAATATTTGATTTAAGTCTATGAGAGCTTTATTTTTTGGACCAGATCTGCATATAACATCTTTGAAACAGACAACTTATTATTTCCTTACTTATCTTGAAACACACAGCTATTTAGGCTCTTAAAAAAAAAAAAAAAGAGCTTTACACTAGTAGCCTAGGACAGATGTTATTGTGACTGACTAATATGAGAGTCTCATGGTCATTATCATGTAGCACATGAACAATAAAAGTGGACTGATATCCAATCACAGAAGAAAATGGTGACAATAACTACCTTGTTGTTGTTATTACACATCTAAAAAAGAGGACAAGTGGAGATCCCCAAGGATTGATTCTAGAGCCTTTTCTTTTCAAAATGTACATGTTAGCTCAGATCATTTAGTTACTATGCAGATAATACTCTGATTTATGTTATTGAATTATTAGGTGGCTACAGTCATGTAGAACAGCTAAAACAATAGTTTTAGTGGCTTTTGATTGCTGACATACCCCTTCACTAGCTATACCTGTGTGGAACAACTGGTTCTGACATTTCTTTACTTGTTTATAAAGCACCAAACTGTTCTGATCTCCTGATCACTGTTCACTGTTTTGTTGCTTATAAACAAAGTATGATAAAAACAGTTTCCATGGACAAACTATCTAAAAGAATTTTCAGGAATGTGTCTCAGTGCTTGACCCCTTGACTCTTAAATCAAGACTAAAAACTTTCACTTACTGTGTTTTATTAAATTTGGAGTTTTTTCATCTCTGCGCTGACACTTTTAATGCATTGCCTTATTTGTTGAAATGAATTCATTCTACTCTATTATATCTAATTTTCACCGCCCAATAGATGTTTTGATGCATTTTAATGCGCATTTTGATACAAAGTTGCCTTTTCCTTTTTTAGAAAGATGCACACTGTATGTAGGTCCAGTAGGTTTACATAAAGACTTTCATTCACTCTGGACACTTTTTCTACCCATTTTGCATTATCTTCCTCTAACACACCAGAAACAGCGCAGTTGTTACTGACCTAATCCTAGTACTCTTGCATAGTAATGACATTACTTTGTCCCCTCTACGGTATTGAATGTGCAGGTTAAATAGTGATGGTTAAACAGTTAAATTTGTAAATGAGAGACCTCCTGGCAAACAGGTGGTTGGGTTTACTAAAGCTAATCTTACACACATTAGGTCAAAGGTACTCTGGACACACAGCAGTGTGAATGACAGCCTTGGAGCAGACTGTGGTGTGACAGACAGACTGTGACACTCTCTGTGCTGTGAAACACTTGTTCTCACCCTCTGTTCACCCTGCAGCCCTGGCTACTGTGTGCTGGACAGGGGAACAGGTCACTGGGTGTTTTATTAGATGTCTTGCATCATATGAGATTACTGATTATACTTAGGACATAATTATTTTATTTTGGGTATAAGATAAAGAATACTTACATATGGTGAAATTACACAGAGTTTAGGTAAAATATCAAAAATTAACAACACGCTAAAGACACATTTTGCAACTTGAGCTGTCATTCATTTCATTATGTTGCTTTAAATGAACTCCTGGATGCAGTCTTGATCAGGGGTCACTGTGCCCCATTAATCAGCTCTTCCGTCTTTCTCATCAGGCACTTCACAGGCCACCTCCAGCCCCTATGAAGGAGCATCGGCTGTCTCCGATGCATGAAGAACCATTATCTGCCCCAGTGAATGAGGAGGGGTCACAGAATGCGGGAGCAGGAGCTGCAGGTGGATGTCCACCTGGCTCTGTAGGCAGTGCTGGCAGCAACAAGAAGCCACGATCACGCACTAAGGTTCAGACTGTTGTATTTTGTCAGCTCTGGACCATTTTTCTATCAGGACTCATTTAGTGGGTATCATGCATTTTGCCATATAGGTAAATTTTCAGTTCACTCATCTATCCTTCCTGCATTCTGGGTGTGTGCCTTCTAGATATCCCTGGAGGCCCTAGGTATCCTGCAGAGCTTCATCCAGGACGTTGGCTTGTACCCAGACCAGGAGGCCATCCACACCTTGTCGGCACAGCTTGACCTGCCCAAGCACACCATCATCAAGTTCTTCCAGAACCAGCGCTACCACGTCAAGCACCACGGCCGCCTCAAGGAACTAGGTGAGGGGGCTGCCGCTAGTGGAGGTGTGGATGTTAGCGAATACAGAGACGAAGAGCTGCTTTCAGGGTCAGAGGACCCAGAGTCCAGTGAGGACGGAGCAGAGGAGATCTACCAGTCCACAGAAGGGAGTGGCGGGAGCACAGGGGGGCTGAACCAGTCTTTGGCCTCCTCTAGCTCTAACTCCAGCCAGTTGTCCTCAGGGACCAACATGACCCAGGAGGAGGGTAAGGACAAGGGTCACGGCCGGCCTAGTGGCAATGTGGCCCCTGGGAGCTCCTCGTCCAGTCCAAGAGAGCAAGCTGACTACCAAAGGTAGGGACTGACAAACAGAGAGGAGAGGTCAGAGGGTGAAGAAACTGGACACAGAATGGGTGTATGATAAAAAAAAAAATACAATAAGGAACTGGAAATGAACTGATGTAAAATGACTGCACAGAAACTGTATGACACAAATGTCTATTTAGGCACAGATTAACCAGGAAAACATTAGGCTGAAATACTATACATCACTGAAACAACAAATCAAACTCTATAGTGGCAATCTCAGACAGACATCTGAGGAAACCTGAGCTGTGGAGTGAAATTACCTCAAAGCAAAAGACAGCAGGTTGGCAGTGTGATGTGACATAGCAGTGGCTGTGTAACTGTGAAAGACAGTTTTCCCAGAAACATTTAAATAATTCACTCCAGACTTTCATTAGCAGGTTAGACTATGGCTGCTCAGGCCTCTTACCCACAAGCAGACACAAACATAAAATCTACAGAACCTTTTCCTAACCAGCCAATAACTAGGAAAGCCACTCAAGGAGGTAAGAGCTCCCCGGCTTTGACCAGAAGTTGTCCCTCCTCCTCCTCTAAAGTCTGAGCACAGTCCCAGAGGACAAACTCCCTACATGACAGGGTGAATTCACCCTGCTCAGTGACAGTTATAGACTGGATCCTGGGGCCTTCAGAGACCTCCACAATCCTATAAATCCTCAGGACACACACTGAAATTACTAATGCTGTTGCCTGCCTGAGAACATGGAAAGAACACACTCGCTAGTCACCTATGAGCTTCATTTCATTGTAGACAAAGGAAACGACCACCCGACACCCTGCCCTCATCTCACCATCACACGCCAGAATCACCATCAGTCCTATCTAGCACTTACTGATCACAACCATACTGGTATTGTGTGGATGTGACAGACTCTTTCTTCCCTCTGTCCATCTGTTTCTCCTCTTGAGCCTCGCAAAGCATGTGAACTTCAAAGTGAGTCCATTGAGGAGCAGTGGACAGTCCGGCAGGAGGATAATGGACCGACATCTAGAGGATGAGGTGTGGAGGGACACTCAGGCCTGTGTACCCACCCCTCTGGACACTTCCTGGCACCACCCACATATGTGGGTGTGTGTGGCGAGAAAAATGTCAAGAAAGGAAGGACGGAGTTGAGATTCAGCAACCAATCAGTCACTTTATGTGCGGCAGTCCACCCCTTCCACTGTTCTGCTCTCACTCCCTCCCACTGTTCCTCTTTCCAACTGGTGCCCACAGTCGTGTGTCTCACCACACCTAGCCGCATTCAAACTTCACCAACCCTATTTATTGCTATCTTTACCAGTGGCGTGCGGTCAGGGGAGGCTGGGGGGGGGGGGGGGGCGCCGCCCGCCTTGAACAGAA